CCCAGGTTGCCCAGAGAAGCTGTGGATGCCCCATCCCTGGAGGGGTTCAAGGCCAGGCTGGATGAGGCTTTGAGCAGCCTGGGCTAGTGGTTGGAACTAGGTGATCTTTAAGGTCCCTTACAAGCCAAACTGTTCTATGGTTCTATAATGATATTAGAGCAAGTGTTTCTCCTCACCAGTAAAATAGAAACGTTGTCTCACCTCATCCCTCTGTCTGTAATTGAAGTGTTGCTATTTTTCTCTTTTGTTGGCTTCAGATTTAAAATGACAGCTTATGTTTCCTGTTGGTAGGGTTTATTTTAACAGCATTCTGTATGAATATACCTTCTCTGGAGACATTCAAAGCCCGCCTGGATGCGTTCTTGTGTGATCTGATCTAGGTGTCCTGCTCCGGCAGGGGGATTGGACTAGATGATCTTTCGAGGTCCCTTCCAATCTCTAACATTCTGTGATTCTGTGATTCTGTGAAATGGTTGAAGGCATTTGTCACATATATTAACCAATGAATTGCTTAGTATTTCAGCACGGGGGTTGTAGTTTCCTTTGTGGTAGTCCATGGACTAATGCTGTTATCAGCTCCTGTGTTAGCTTCCAAGTTGAACAGACTTAAATAGTTACAGGTTTTTACTTTGTCTCAAAGGCATTTGTAAGGGGTAGCTAAAAGGAAAGTGGAGGAAGAAGAGTGAACTTAATTTAAATTAGCAGATATCCTTTTCTGGCTGACATCTGACCTGTTTTGTGTTTTCCTCTTTTGGGCATTTTTATCTTGGAATTAAGACATGGCGTTTGAGGTTGGAGCTAGCTCCGATGCTTGCAGTGAAGCTCTTCTGCAATACTGTTTATTCCTTGGGTAAATAGCGTGTGAGTAAATTTCTCTATCTTTGCTATGGTAGTAGTACCAACATTTGCTGCAGAAATCTGCATTGATGGGAGCCATTGCTTGATTTTTTTCCAAAAGCTGAAGTGTTTTGTAGTTTTGGCTTTGGTGATTTTTTCCATCTTCCTCTCTTTGTCCATAATGTGGATGGTATTGGTGCAAGTTTCCCACAGTTCCCTAATGTTGTACCTCTTCCCTGGGGGATTCATTCTGAGACTGAAAGGGAGGTTTTTCAATTTCTTTGCTTCTCTGATATTGCTAAGCAAGGTGTTGGCTCTCTGGGGGGCCTCCAGTGGCACCAAGGCTGAGACCACACACAGTTTTCCCATAGGTCACTGTGGATGGGCAGCAGATAGCAACAGCTCTTGGCTGGATTTACTCTGGCACACGTGAAACATTTTAATCCAGATAATAGTTTATTCCACTCCTCCCTACCCCCTCTATCTTTTCCCAAGAAGCTGGAGCTGTTTGCCATGTTTGAGTGCCAAAAGGATCTTTTGTCTCTTTGGGAACTGAGGCAGACGTGCTAGGGTAGCTGATATGTAGAATAAAGAATGGAGAGCTGATGTAAGGGGAAAGCAGCTGTACTTGGCTGCGCTGCATTTGAAGCCACAGTTTATTAAGTGGTGTTTCTGTAATGCCAATCTTATGATTATTGTATTTGTATTTTAAGTAAAACTGAACTGTGCTTTGCAGAGT